GGTAATATCGTGTTCAGTACTAGTCGGAGATTTATACGACTGTCGTTGCGTCCATATTATATTAAGATCAAAAACACGAAATGAAATATCGTAGAGTGTTTAGTGCAAAGAAATAAACGATGTATTGTGAACTATTTTACATGTTTATTTGTTACACAGAAAAAATTTACCCTAGCAACCAGGTGTTTTCATAAAGAACACGGCGGTTGTTTTTTTCGGTTTGCCATGGATGATACAATTTTTCGGCTACGTTTATACAAATTTTTTCCAATCTTAATTCCAAAAACATAATCTGGGGCTGCAAAAAAACAAACCCAAACGGACTAAAATTGTACGAGTACACGTCCGACCTAAACATCATGGTCTCCCCTCCACCGTGTCCAACCTTTTACCGAACAGGAGTTACCCCGGACATATTAGATATTGCACTAATCTCAAACTTCCATACAAACTTATACCACAAAGTGTTATACGAGCTCGACTCTGATTATGTCCCGGTATTAACAACCCTAAGAATACAAGCTGAAACTAACCCCCCCGTACCAAAACTAATAAATCGACCAATAAAATGGGAAATCTTTAAAGAAAATATAGATAAAATATTAAAATCAAACAGAAAGTACTCAAATTCAAATGAAATAAACTCGGGCATAATACACCTTACATAATCCATCAAATCATCGATAGACTTAGCACTAGCCCCACCAAATTACAAAAAATCTCATAATTATAACACGCCAATACCATCCGACACACAAAACCTAATCAAAGAAAAACATAAGGCACGAAGAATCTGGCAAACACACCGGTCTCCAGCAGTCAAAAAACGTTTAAATCAACTAACAAGAAGAGTAGAATGGGAACTGGATAATCTAAGATATAATTCTTACAAAGCATACGTATCAAAAATAAATCCAAATGACTCAAGTCTTTGGATAGCTACCAAAAGAATCACTAAACAGCGTGAAACAATTCCCCCTTTAATAAACGGATTAGCCAAGTATGAAACTAACATAGAAAAATGTGAAATCTTTGCCCAACATTTTGAAAGCTGTTTTACAACTGATGAAAACCATACAAACCAAAATGAAGTAGTAAACCTTGAACAAAGAAACATAGAAAATCAACCAATAGTCAATCCCATTAGCCCATGTACCCCTAAAGAAATACAGATAATAATAAATAAACTAGCTAGTAAAAAAAGCTCGGGACATGATCTAATAACAAACAAAATACTCAAAAATCTCTATCATACATAGCTAGCCTCATGAACTCCTCCATGAGACTAGGCTATTTTCCCGACACATGGAAAATTGCAATCATTATCCCTACACATAAACCAGGAAAACAAAATAGTTCACCCAAAAGTTACAGACCCAAAAGTCTACTCCCAACTTTCTCAAAACTCCTTGAAAGAAATCTGCTGCACAGAATTAAACCGTTCCTAAAAATTATACCACTACATCAATTCGGTTTCAAACCATTTCATTCGACAACCCATCAGCTACAACAGATCTCTGAAATCATAGTAAACGGTTACGAAAATAAAAAATTTACCACGTCGGCCTTTTTAGACATATCGCAGGCCTTCGATAAGGTTTGGCACCATGGGCTTATTTTAAAAATAAAATCCCAAAACCTACCTTTATACCTTAACAATACATTTTTGTCATTTATAGCAAATCGTAAATTTCATGTCAGAATAGGAACAGATATATCACAAATACATAATGTTAAGGCTGGAGTTCCACAGGGATCTGTGCTAGGACCATCTCTATTCAATATCTACTGTCACGATATACCAACACCGCAACACTGCCATCTAGCAATGTTCGCAGATGACACTGCAATAATAACGCAAAACCAAACTCTTGAATCTTCAATAAGAGACCTACAAAACTCCTTAAATGAACTATCCCTCTGGTTCTCAAAATGGAAACTAACACTAAATCCAACCAAAAGCGAAGCAAAAATATTTACACTCAGAAAATACATAAACCCGACCCTACTTCAAATAAACAATAAAGAAATCAACTGGAATAACAAAGACGACTTAGTAAAATATTTGGGCCTGCACCTTGATGAAAAACTAAGCTGGAAAATACACATCAACAAAAAATTAAACCAAGGATACACTAGGCTACGAATACTGTACTCCCTATTAAATCATAGCTCTACCATACAAATGAAATGCTCTCTACTCCTTTATACAGCAATAATAAGACCTTTAGTAACCTATGCATGCCCAGTATGGGCATCTGCCTCCAAAACAAAAATTAAAAAATTACAAACCCTCCAAAACAAATTCCTAAGAATAGCCCTAAAGGCCCCTTGGTTCATGAGAAATAAACAATTGCACAAC